CGACGCAGCTCACACTAGTTTTTAGCTAGTTATATCTTTTTAGCACTGAACTCACTGAAGTTGATGAATATTACTAGTGTATATTCTCTGTGTATAAGCCCAATAGCTATCAAACCTGTCAAATTATATTTACTACATCTTTACATTTCTTATATCCGAATAGTATAGCCCGGCATTCGGGTCTATCCCTACAAAACTAGGCCGCCATACTGTTTTTTCAAGTTCATAACGTTGTACACTACGACTTCGAATCATTGACAAGATTTTAAATTCTAAGACAAAAAATAAACGAGTTCAGATTATATAAAAAATTTCAAGAAATAAATAATTAAAAATATTAATTATATACTAATAATTGAAAAAATGTCATGAACAACATAGTTTGCATCTTAGGCTATGCGAATTTGCGCCAGTCTCTTACTCCGGCTTAACCTACAATACTCATTAGCTGCGGCTACATGAGATTGTACTTTCAGCAAACGAAGAGCTCTCATGTTGCGCAACACCACGTGCTACAGACGACTTGTCGCTTGGGCGTTGAAGAAGAAGAAGTCAAGAAGAAATTGTTTTAAGACATGAATTATGAAATAAATCAACCCAAATCGCTACAAAAGGAGTAAAGGTAGCTTTAACTTTCAAATTTTGTTGTGCTTTGGGCTATGGGCTTAATGCCGTGTATGACATAACAGAACATTTTGAAACATTGAAAGCATATAAATTCAGGACGCAAGAAACAGCACTATGAATTCTTTCTTTCAAGAATCCTTGTTTATTCGATTCGAGACTAGCAGATTGCATTATCGGAGCTTTCAAAATCTTTTTACGGAATATCAAAATTTATTTTCAGTTGTATTCAGCAGAATTAAACCCTAGCCCTAACCCAAATGAGATAACAAAAGGAACTCCTCGTCATGGTCCTAGTGTCACTCTACTCGAGGCAGCCGCTTGCTAAACATTGAGTGCGTTTTTATAAAACAAATTCAAGCACGTCTTCCTGTCGAATTTCTTTCATGGCTGACCAAGCTTCTGTCGCTCCAGTTCCGGAGAATGTAGTGCAGGTCTTGAACCCACCTACTCCGGCTACAAATGCGGACCAAAATGCTGCCTAGCAGAACGACCAACAAAACGATGGCCAATGCGGCCCCGAATGTGGTTCCTTAAGTAAATTTATGGGATTCTTGTATCATGTTTTACCTAGTATTTAGATATCTCAGCCGTTCGCTGGGGATATGCTTTTTTTAGTGTCGTTTTCATTCGCCGTTATGGTTCGGGGAGCTTCGTCGTACACATCGAGCGTAGTTTGTGCCAACACGTTTGCGCTAGTTTTGTCAATCCTTTAACCTTAATATTATAAGATAACATTAAATATAACTAATATGATATTATAGTATTAATATTCACCGCTAATATAACGATATTAATCATAATTTAAACTAATATTTTTTGCTAATTTGTCGTAATACCTCGGTTATTTAGTAATTTTTTAGCATAGTTTAATCCTCAATGGGAGTGTAGTTGGGTTTCAAACAATTGTTTCTAATAACTGCAAACCCTCTTCCCAAAACAACATTAAGAAGTTCTTAATATTGTTTTGGGAAGAGGGTTTGCAATTATTAGTGCTATTTCGTCTCATAGGTGATGCCTCAGCAAATTATATTTTACTTGGTGCGCAACTGTGTTTACTAACTATGCCTGTGTGGCCATGTTTATTGCCTGTGTGGCTGGGTTACCTGTGTGGTCTCCCTTTTTGTGATATTAATGCCTGTGTTGCCTGTGTGACCGTGTAAATTGCCTGTGCGGCTGGGTTGCCTGTGTGCTCATGCTTAGTGCATGCGTGTCCGTGTTAATTGCCTGTGAGGCTGGTTTGCCTGTGTGGTCATTTTTCATTGCATATGTGACCGAGTTATTTGCCTGTGGGGCTGTGTTAATACCTGTGGTGGGTTTACCGGTTTGCCTGTGTGRTCATGTTTCATTGCATATGTGACCGAGTCATTTGCCTGTGKGGCTGTGTGAATACCTGTGGTGGGTTTACCGGTTTGCCTGTCTGGTCATGTTTCATTGCATATGTGACCGAGTTATTTGCCTGTGTGGCTGTGTGAATACCTGTGGTGTGGCTAGGCCTAACGTCTTTGCGGCTGTGTTTGATGCATGTGTAGCGACGTCTAATACCTGTGTGGTCGTGTAAATGCTGTGTAGTTGTGCTTATACCTCTGTGGCTGTGATTATCGGCCTTACACGAGGCCGCTGTGATGGCTTAAAAGGGGAATCTACCTCCTATCCRTTGTGGGTCTCCAGTCTTGGCGAGTAGCTGGGTCACCACTACGGTGGACCACCGGACGGCCTATTGGTATTAGGCGTGTCGAAGTTGCTCTCTCCTGATCCGGAACCTATCGGTATCTCCTCACATCTTTTGGTTCTGTGTTTTCTTGTCTGATATAATATTAAGCTTAGAGACCCTCAGGCCTTCTTAGTCCGAGGCTACATTGCTTGAGTGTTTCGTCAAGCACAGTGGGTGGGGTCACATACCACGTGATAGCCTGTGTAATCAGCCGTTTTGGATACGGATTGAAGTGCAAGGAACGGCTGTAAACGCAGACTTATCACGTGACTGTAGGATTTGTTTTGTGACAGAGAGAAAATATTATGTAATAGTCCTAAAATAAAGAAATAAGTTAATTTTTTAAACTATTATCGAAATTTTGCTCCTGTTGACGCAGGCTATTCACTTGACCGTGGGATTTGTGAGAAAACATTATGTAAAACCGTATGATGATGATGGTGATGATGATGATGACGATGGTGATGATGGTGATGATGGTGATGGTGATAATGGAGATGATAATGAAGGTGGTGATGATGGTGATGTTGATGGCCATGGTCATGGTCATGATCTCTTGTAAAGATGGCGATGATAACAAATGTTACATGATGAAAACGGCTGATAAATGCGTCTTTACATGCTTTCAGCTCGAAGCCGTTGAGCTGCGCCACTGCTGTACTTGCGGTGGTGATAAGCGATGACGTTTTTTGTGGTTAGTCCCTCGATAGACGGCTAACCACTATGCTATCGCGTAGCGTGAACCACTTCCCCTCCCCTGGTAGAGCGAATCATTTTTCGCATTTTATGCAGTAAGTATTYAATTTATTATAAGTAATACCATGGCAATGAGGGATA